TTGACTCGTCTTTGTTTCCTTCTACCCATTTCAAATGAAGAACTTTCTCTCATTATCAAAGTCTGTAATATTGCTAACTGAAATTATCATTTAAGAATTGGCATGCATTTGTTGATGCAATTCAGATAACCAAGATAGAGTAATTTAGGAAGTAATCTCGGCATGTATGTCCCAGTATCTCCTTAGATGAGAAAACAGGTCAAAGAGAGAGAAAAGACAACAATTTCATTTGGTAAGTTGACTTCATTAACATCATACAAAGTGGCTGTTTGGGAATCGCTAGCTGATGGAGACTGCCTTATAAGATGCTGCTCTGCAGTTTTATCCTCTTAGACTAATCCGTTCTTATGGTAATCATTTCCATCTGTGACAATGCTCACTTTAGTTCCAAATCTTTCATTAACCTCTCCAGTAGCATATCTTTTTCAGAAATATTTCAGAAGAAATTTTTCTCTCTCCTCAATTTGCTATTTTTACATCTCACTTGATAATATGTTTTAATCCCATTTTTCTTTTGTTGCTTAATATTGTAGTATTCTGTCCAAAAATTGTAACTCAGGTAGGCAGAATTATAAAAAAAAAAAATCTTTGGACTTAGAACTGCAAATTCCAGCATGTGTCCATGGTATAGGGTTGAGGGTAAGTGAAAGATTGCCAGGATTTTCAGATGTTTGTTATTCTAATTTAACTTATTTCATAATTCAGTTTCAGATGACCACAAACTTGCTATGGAGAGACAAGCACAAATCAACTCTCCAGACTTGTAGTTCAGTGTCTTCCTGCCCTGTCTTACCCCTCCCTGACATGTTTTTATATCCTTGGGCTCCATGTGATAAAGAATTCTGTCAATCTGATGTGGAACTGATCTGACACTAATGCCCTTTTTCTCCCATAGAAGAAATTAGACTTTCCCAAAGTAGTGAGACAATTCTGTCAGAAGATGAATGGAAGGTATTAGTGCTGACAGGAAACACAGGCACTCAAGCCAATGTCACACTCTGGGTATATGGAGATGAAGGAGTCAGTGGACCAGTAAGTCTTAGCAAGGGCAACCCAGAGAAGCTCTTCCTTCCAAGACAGGAGGATGAATTTAAGGTAAACAATATTAGTAGTAATATTGTACTTTGAACATTTCAAAGCTATTACTATAATACAGAAAGATGTGAGTGTGTGGTATGTATGTATGTGTGTGTGTGTGTGCCCTGTATAAAATAAATCTCTGATCCATTAGCATCCCCATAAGTTATCCTAATGTGTAGTGCAGTTGTCAAAGAAAACTTTTTTTCCCCTCTCTTATCTTATAAAAGAAAGGAAAGTTGTACAAGAAAATTGCTTTCCAGCACTATGAAGCAGTCCATAGCCACTGTAGCACGAGTTTGATCCCCTGCCAGGGAGCTAGCCTCCGCATGGTGCAGCAGACCTCTTCTGTCTCGACTGCTGCTCCCCTCAGCAGTTTATTTCAGTACATCTGCCTCTTCTGTTCCCCACTCTTTCTCTGGTGAATCCGCTCACCCTCCCCGCACCTCTGGCCTGCACCCCAGTTCTTGTATGCATAAATAAATAAATCTTTTTTTTTTTTTTAAAGAAAATTGCTTTCTTTAAAGACAGTTTGTTTTAGGCCATTGATTTGAAACTGGTCCCATAAACCATTACCTTCAGCTCAAATTATAACCAGATTATAAAACATTTAGAGATTCTCCTGGTAATGAAAACCTTTCTGTTATATTACATATACTTTTAGATGTTGTTCAGATAACTTGAATGGTTGTGAAATCATTTTCTTGGCATCTTCAGTGGCTGTATTTTGAACCTCTATCCATGTCCATTCAAATGTGTTTCTTTTCTACTCAGTATCAGAGAGCCTGGACTGTATCATTTTATTATTGGCCACCTTTCCTAGTTCCGCAAGGCTTTGGGCAAATTTCAGTTAGAATAGTTGCATTCCACTTCACTAATTCATCCTACCCCATTAAGTGTAAGCTAAATGTTGGCTTGATGCACTATTAAACAGCAGTTGTTCTCCATGGAGAGTATTGTTGCGGTATTCTAAGACTGGCTAGAGATTAGAGATGATTGCAGCCAATACAAAACACTAGAAAACCAAGTTATTTAAAATTGCATTACTGGCAATCACTCATACTCAGATAACCTGTAAATCTTCAGATCAGTGCTTGTCATTCTACCTTTGCAATGATTAAATTTTTAGTTCAGAAGCATTTTGGCGCAAATGTACAGGCAGTCATACAATATGTGCATTTCTGAAGATTATGTGGAGATGATTGTTTAAAATTCAAAATCTTTATGTTGTGGTTAGATTCCTAGTCTGACCCACAAAGTCTATTACTACTTATACCTTGTGGTGTATTTATTTATATGCAGAAAATCCTGCCAATGTTTTTCTGGAAAAATTTACTCAGGATGCAATCTTGGAATGTATGATTCTCAATTTGATTGTACATTGGAATTACTTGGGGGAACTTTCAAAACCTTTTCTTTTTTTTAACCGCTGGAGATTCTGGTTTATTTAATCTAAGTGCTGTCTGAGATTTGAGGTTTTTAGAAGTTCCCCAAGTGATTCTAAAGTGCAGCCAAATTTGAGAATACCAGTGCTAGCATAGACTGTAAATCAGGTAAACTGGGTTGGCAACTTCTCTTTCCATACGCTCAATGTATGACCTTGAAGATGTTATTTATTTTCCTCTGGCCAGCATCATTTTCATATATAGAAAGGAGGCAATGGTATTTGTTCTTTCTAAATTCCAGGATAGTCTGATGACAAAAAGAGAAAAAAATATATGTGTGCATTTTTTAAAAATCAACTACTGGGAACAAAACAAGTGCGTATAGTAAGAAAAGAATTTTTCAATGTGCATAATTTATAACATCTGCTCATTTTTTCTTTGCATTTCATTTAGGTTGAAATAAGAAACGTTGGGAAGATATATAAGATAAGGATAGGACATGATGGAACGAGCAAGCAACCTGAGTGGAACTTACAGAGGGTAATTTTTTTATTTGTACTTAATAATTACTCTATGATAAAAATAATCAGGTTTCCTAAAGCAATGTGAAAGATTATATATTTTTCTAATTGTTACATGATGTGAACAAAATTTTTCTGCCCGTAACACTCAACTTTTATGGTTATATTTGCAATCTGTGTTCACAAGAGATCTAAGGAATATAGTAAATTATAAGGATAAAAAATGAGTTGTTATTTGTTCATCATTAAATGAACACTGAGGTGGTTCATCTTCTTCAAGGCTTTTTTTAATAAATGTATTTCATAAACTCACTTGTGAGCTCTTTTTCTATACACATAATAATAATAATAATAATAATACAATAATATCAATAGCAACAATAAGTAGTCATTATATTCCAACTGCCTTACAAACACTATCATTTATCTGTTGCCTAACAGGAATTCTTGGATTAATATTCCTGTTTTATGCATGAGAAACTGAAGATTATTCAAGTTAAATAACTTGGTTAGGGTCACTTAATAAATGATCACTTAATAAATGGACTTGAAGGACAAAGTCTTAAGCATTATTGTTGAGCCTTCAGTTTTTCTTCAAAATTAGCAATTAAATTCTTGGAAGTCAGAGATTTATGTACAGAAGGTTATTATTGTGGAGCCAGATAACATGATTTGAATTCTAGAACATCTCTGTTTTCTAATTTTAAGTATGACATTGGTCATTGATTCATTTATATTACCTGATATGCTATTTTAAAATATTTGAAGTTTATCACTGATAGAATCTAGAATATTTATCTTTTTTTTTTCATTAAAAATGGCATCTTTCTGCGCTTTTTATTATTGTGTCTTTGATTGTATAATGAAAATCAATGAGACTAAGTTAACTTTATGGGAAAGTTTATTCCTCTGTTTCTTAGCACATAAATAATATAATGAAAACTGTTATTCTTAAAGCATAGGAGCAGGTAATTGAGCAAATAGCATTTCCTGAACACCAAATATATGCCCTGCATTGTGCTAAATGCTGCAGAGATGGGAAGGAAATCATATGTTAAGCTTTAAATTTTTTTTTCTACTCAGAAACATTGAAAGACTTCACAGGAGTGACCAAAAAAATCACTGTTTAGGAAGAAGATACAATATGCATAGAATCTGTAAAGTTTAATAGAATTACAAATTATGTACATTTGAATTACTGGGAAAGATAAGTCAGAACATTTAGCAAGAGATTTAACAATGAGTTAAATTGATGTAGAATTGCTAATATGAAATGTTTTCTCATGGACCTTTGCGTAAGAAGAGAGTTCAGGGATATAGCAGTATCATGATAGAGTGAATCTTCAATAGGATGGAGAAACATCCCCAAGCAGAGGTATTCAAAGAAAAGAATATTCAGTTCACAGAACCAAGAAAGACAGCTTCCCTCCTCTCATTGGTGATAAAAGTTTCTGTGAAATGCAAACTGGTTAGAATATTAGTCTATTTAACAAATGAATAATTAGAACTGTAATTAAACCACTAAAGTAATGTAAAATAAGGGAATTTTCTTAGAGTTTACTTTTTTCTGTTTTATTTTAAATTAATTTTAAATTCATAAAAAATTGCAAGAGTGGAATAAGATCTTTGATCTCATCCAGATTCCCAGTTGTGTTTTTCTTTCAAAAGATTAGCATTTATTTCAATGATGGGATTATAATTTTCACACTTATTTATACTTTAACTTTCAAAACTACTAAAAGTAATTTAATTTTTAATTAAAAAAAAATAGTCCAGATGAATGTAGAAACTAGAGAAGCTACCACAATCCTGTTGCTATGGAAGTGTCAGTGTGCTAGGAGAAAAAGGATGTCCTGAACAAACTCCAGAAATAGGTTTTATGAGCCCCACCCCCATTCCAGATCAAAGGTATCCAAGACACCAAGAACTACAAATGACATAATGTATCATCACTAAAGGGAGGATTGCTGGGTCCTGAGGGTGGAGTTAAACAGCCAGGTTTGGTATAAAACTAGACATGTGGGCCTTGGGGTTCTCTCAGTTTTTTGCCAGTTCTCAGCGTGCTATTGGAGATTCCAGCTCAGTGGAACTGGTAGGACACATTCGTGAATTTATCTCCCTCTCTTTCTCCCTAAGTTATTCATTTCTTCATTTTTTCTTCTTCTGTAAATAAGCCCTTTATTAATCTTTTTGTATGTGCCTGCAGTTGAATATGAGGATCCACAGTCAGGCCACCCATTTCATATTGGGGTTGCCCTGTAACAAGTGGTTAAGACCCCTTCCCTTGAGAACTAACGCAAAAGTAAATGGACCATTTTTTTTTAACATTTTCTTTTATTTATATTTATTTTTTATATCATTGTTCATTTTGTATAATGTTTTATCTCTCTCCTCGGGTGTAATCCCCATAAAATTCCCACCATCAAATCACCCATGAATTGTCACCATACTCTCTTGAGCTCTGCCTGTCCCTGTTTTGATCCCTGTTCTTACCCCTCCCTTGCTGTATGTCTCAGATTTATAGTTTTCCTAATAGTTTTGTCTTTTTTTTCTTACCCCTTGTTTGGTTCCCTTATGGTCTTCCTATAAGTAAAACCATTGGATAGTTTTCTTTATCCTTCTGACTTATTTCACTGAGCATAATCCCTTCCAGCTCCATCTGTGTTGCTGGAAATGGTATGAGTTTATCTTTTTTGATTGCTGAATAGTATTCCATTTGTATATAGCATCTTCTTGATCCAGTCATGTGTTTTTAGGTATTTAGGTTGTTTTCATATTTGCCTATTGTAAATCATACTTAAATAAACATAGGAGTGCAGGTTTCCTTTGGAATTAATGTTTTTGTATCCTTTGGGTAACAACTCTAGAAATGGAATTGCTGGGTCATAGTGTAGATCCATTTTTAATAATTTGAGAGTCCTCTACATAGTTTTCCATAGTGATTGATCCAGTTCGTATTCCCACTAGCAATGTAAGAGGGTTCCTTTTTCTCCAGATTCTCACCAGCATTTGTATTCATATTTTTTTTTTTTTTTTTTAAAGAGGCATGTGTTTTTATTTATTTATTCGTTTTTTTTTTTTTTTTTTTGTTTATACATGCACTGGGTACAGTCAGAAGCGCGGGAGGGTGAGAGAATTCACCAGAGCCAGAGCGGGGAGCAGAGCAGGCAGAAGGACCGAAGCACACCGCTGAGGGGAGCAGCGGGCGGCAGGAGAGGTCTGCGCACCATGTGGGACCCTCCTCCAGTGGCCGGGGAGCAGCCGGGGAACGAACCGGCGCCTCAGAGGCTGCGGGCAGCTTCGCAACCCAGCGCTCAACCGCTGCGCCACTGGGGAGGCCCCTCATATTTTTTTTTTAATGTGGGTCATTCTTATCGATGTGAGGTAGTATCTCATTGTGCTTTTGATTTCCATTTCCCTGATTGTAAGTGATGTTGAAACATTTTTTCATATGCCTGTTAGCCAGCTGCATTTCCTCTTTGGAGAAGTGTCTTTTTAGCTCTTCTATCCAGTTTTTGACTGGATTATTTATTTTCTTTTTGTTGAGTTGTAGATATTTGATATAAGTCCCTTGTTAGTTGTATGAAGTACAAATATTTTTTTCTAATCTGTAGGGTGTCACTTTGTTTTGGTTACTATCTCTTTTGCTCTACAGAAGCTTTTTAGTGTCACTATTTAGAGGATAGTGTCACTATTTTTGTGTCCTTTGGGTAGATCCCTAGTAGTGGAATTGTGGGATTGTAGGGTAGCTCCATTTTTAGTAGACTGAGGAACCTCCAGACAGCTTTCCACAGTGGTTAGACCAGTTTGCACTCACACCAGCAATGTAGGAGAGTCCTTTTTCACCACATCCTCACCAACATTTGTTGTTGCTTGTTTGTTTGATATGTGACATTCTTACTGGTGTAAGGTAGCATCTCAGTGTGGTTTTGATCTGCATTACCTGATTTTAAGGGATGTTGAACATTTTTTTCATATGCCTGTTGGCCATTTGCATTTCCTCTTTGGAGAAATGTCCTTTAAGTTCTTCTGCCCTTTTCCTGACTGGATTGTTTATTTAGTTTTTTGTTGAGCCGTATGAGTTCTTTGTATATCTTTGTGATCAGTCCCTTATCCATTGGATGGAGTGCAAAGATTTTTTCCCCAATCAGTGGGGTGCCTCTCTGTTTTGGTTAATGTCTCTTTTGCTGTGCAGAAGCTTTTCAGTTTGATGTAATCCCAGGTGTTTATCTTTCCTTGACTTTCTTTGCTTTGGGTGATGAGTCTTTAAAGATGGTACTGATGTGTATGTCTTGTAGTGTTTTACCTATATTTTCTTCTATATATTTTATGGTTTCAGGTCTTATGTCCAGTTCTTTTATCCATTTTGAGTTGATTTTTGTGCACAGTGAGAGGTCGTGGTCTAGTTTCATTGCATGTAGAGTTCCAGTTTTCCCAGCACCATTTATTAAACAAACTATCCATGTTCCATTGCATATTCTTTGCTGATTTGTCAAAGATTAGTTGTTCATATAAGTGTGGCTTTATTTCTGGGCTTTCTATTCAGTTCCATTAGTCTGTGTGTCTGTTTTTGTTTCAGTACCAAACTGTTTTAATTATTATGGCTTTGTAGCATAGTTTGAAGTTTTGAAGTGTGATACCTCCTTTCTCTGTTGTTTTCATCATCAGTAGGGCTTTGGCTATTCATGGTTTTTTTTGTGGTTCCGTATGGATTCCATCAGTATTTATTCTATTTCTTTGAAGAATGTCATTGGGATTTTTATTGGAATAGCATTGAATCTGTATATTGCTTTTGGGAGGATGGCCATTTTAATAATGTTGATTCTTCCAATCCATGAACAGGGGATGTCTTTCCATTTCTTTGTGTTTTCTTCAATTTCTTTGAACAGTGTTTTATAATTTTCTTTGTATAGATCTTTCACCTCTTTTGTTAGGTTTATTCCCAAGTATTTGATTTTTTTTGGCTTCAATTATAAAAGGGATAGTTTTCTTGATTTCTTCTTCTTCCAATTGATTGTTTGTATATAGGACAGCTACTGATTTTTGTATGTTGATTTTGTATCCTGCTACTTTACTGAACTGGTTGATTATTTTGAGTAGTTTTTATGTGGGGATTTAGGGTTTTCTATGTATATTATCATATCGCCTGTAAATATTGACAGTTTTACTTCTTCTTTCCCTATTTGGATTCTCTTGTCTTATTGCCTTGGCTAAGACCTCCAAGAGTACCTCCAGTATCTTCACCATTGAAGAGCAGTGGTGAATAGGACATCTTTGTCTTGTTCCTGATCTTAAAGGAAAGGCCTTCAGCTTTTTGCCATTGAGAATAATGTTGGCAGTGGGTTTGTCATATATGGCTTTCATCATGTTAAGGTATGTTCCTTCTATCCCGAGAATTTCAAGGGCCTTCATCATAAATGGATGTTGGACTTTGTTGAATGCTTTCTTAGCATCTATTGATATGATCATATGGTTTTTATTTTTCTTTTTGTTGATATGTTGGATTACACTTAATAGATTTTCATATGTTGAACCATCCTTGCGCCCCTGGGATGAATCCCACTTGATCGTGGTGTACTAACCCTTTGATGCATTGTTGGATTCTGTTGGCAAGTGTTTTGTTGAGGATTTTTGACTAGCTAATATGTTAATTCTTGCTTTTGAGCTCTCCAGGCCTATGGAGAGTTCTGGGAGAGGTGAAACAATGTGAGATCCAAAGGAACCACTTTGACCTATAAATAGGAAGTTAAATGTTGACACTGCAATGATATATCAAAGAAAAAATAATGAACTTCTTATAGGTCTGGCCTTCACCAGTGATACAAAATTATAATAAACTGCAGTGATACAAAATTTTAATAAACTGTGCCTTCTGTTTTCATAGCAAACATATGAAATCGAGATGGCAATTAAAGGTCCAACTGCATGTTCAAGCGCTAATAGCAGTAGGTTACTATCAAGCAGGATACATATGTAGCCTAGAGGAACTGGGAGTGCTTTGTGGAAAAGAATTTTAGAGGAGAGAGATTTGAGTAAAGGCCAAGCAAGGAAAGGATAGTGAATGGAAAGTTATTTAGAAATTGCTTATTTCAGTTTTTAATACTTCACATGAATTATCATGAAATATGTATAATTACATATGGGAAATGATTTACTCTCTGATGAGAAGGTAAATGTCTATTTGCAAAGTAAAACTGATTTCTTTGTATTTGAGTGGTCTTTAAATAGCCTGGAATTTTTCAGACACAAGTTGCTTGACCTTGTTCAGGTAGAATATAAATATATTGATTTAGAGATCTTTCATCACCATGTCTTGCATTCCTACTCAAGCATGTAGAAAAAATTCTGTGCATAGGATTACCATCTTCTTTTTTAATATTTATTTTAATTTTTGAGATTACAGTTTTTGTGTTCCATATTTTCCACTCACCTGCTACCACAACTATGTAGCATCTTCTGTTTGATAATTAAACTCCAGCCATTTGCTCTCTTTTGATATTTCACAATTGTGATGGAAATTTATCTAGACACAAAATAAAAGTTTTATTCATCTTTATGCACTTCTCAGTGGTACAGTTTAGTAATTTCTATGTCTTCTATAGATTCCTCCATATCAATGTTTAACTTTTTTATTAGAACTTTTCTTTTTTCTTACATGGACTAGTAGAATTCTAGTCAAATTAACTCTAGATCTTTCAGGAAAAGTAAGGACCATGTAATTTTAATTTTATATATTAATGTGTTTGAATGAGATTGAGGGAACAACAGACCTTTCCTTTTTGAACTTTGTGCTAAAATAAATAATAATCCAGATGTACAAAGGTTTAAAATTGAACTCATATTCAAAGTATCCCATCATGTACTGCCGAAGCACCTACTCTGTGGAAGTATTTCAGTTAAAAGTTTGAGCATGCCATCTTGACTAAAATGTCATTCTTGTCTTCAAAGTGTACATTCTACAATTTACCTAACTATAAACCAGACTGTGGGTTGTTAGTTCTCCTGAGAGTTTTAATTTTTATCTGTCATATCTCAGTGGAAATCCCTTTATCACTACATCTGTCTTTCAAAATATTTACTAAAGAGCTAATT